AAAAACGCCTCAGTTCATCATCTACAAATGTCTTTAAATGTTTTGAGGTTTTTCAATTGCCTTGGTTGTATATATCAGGCTACTGTTTTTATTATGCAGGTGAAAAGAGCGTTGTGTTGACATAAGTTCGATATTTTCAGTAGCTTGTTGTCAATTCCATATAGGAAGTACTCTTAAGTTCTCGCATGCAATTCTAAAGAGTAATCAGGACAGGAAACATATGTAAAACTGACTGAATTTAAAAAAAAAAACATCAAATAAAAGAGATATTTCGATATTATTGAAATGCACCATGGGTGCAGGTTTTGCATTCAAGTAGCGAACATCAAGCATTGCGTAATGCTCTGACTGCATTGTTTGAGCATTATTCTCTTACATTATTCATGGTCATCTTATTAAACTCTCAAGTTCTATAAATATCTCATTTGGAAAGACAAAAATTTCAGAGGTTCTCATGTTTCCTTTTTCCATGCATCATCATTTCACATTTAAACTGCTCTATTACTCAAATCTTCAGTATGGTTAACAAAATAAAATGCTTGTCATATAGGAACAAAGTAAAATAAGCACTAAAATATGTAAATTTGTTTTAAAGAAATAGAGCCAGATGGCTAAATTAGCTAATATGTTTTCTAGTTAGCCCCGCACTTGTCATGTAATGTTACAATACAGCTAAGGAGGAAAGCAATGAAACATAATGTACAGAAAATAACAATTTACTTACACAATAGTTTTATAATTATACGATATAGGTTTGGAATGTTTATTCAAATATGAGTTAATTAGGAGATGAAAGAGGAAAAAGAGTTGACGGTTATAAAATAAACAAATATAATGACAGGTGATATATATCTATCAATTTTTAGGTTATAATAGTAAAAAGGAAGTGAGACAGTTACAGTGTTGAGAGGAATGCGCTTTTATTTTATTTTTTTTTTAAGGAAACCGGAATTTCAATTTAAGACATGCAGGTACTTCATGAGATCACAAACCATAAAGGATAAGGACATTCTTATGCAGTAAAGCGATTCGGACTCCATAGAAGTGATGTTCTCAAGAATAATAATTTTCCATATATATAAAATAAATAGATCTAACTTTAGACATAGTAATTGTAGAGAACTAAATTTCAAAGCAATTATTAAAGAAGAAGGACAGCGAATCAATGCGAGAATCATGATCGCATTTTAGCAAAAGATTTTAGCACACGTTATATTGCAGTAAAACCCGCGGTGTATAAGAAGCACAAGACTTTTTCATGCCATCGCGGACAGGTTCATGTTTTTTTGTCTTTATAACGGTTTTTTCATTTTTTATAAAAAAAGTAGTAATTGCAATGATGGGCGTTGGCTTTGATATTAAACTCCGTTTACCCGATTCTATGTTTTACCTACATATTACAGTAGGAGTAAGAAGTAGAATGATACAAATGAATTTCTATTAAGCTCTACTCTTAATATTATATTCTTTTACAAAGAACAAGATTTAGAATTAAAGTTCGATGCTACTTTATATTTCTTTGACTTTCATCCTGGAAATGATTCTTATAAGATATAAAAGGGAACTTAAATCCGCTGTAAAATTAACTTGCTGTGACTACTGTCGTACGGAAAAGTATTGATATAAAGTTATACTTACAGTTTTTTCCCCACTACTCATAGCCACTCACATAAAAAAGGTTGAAAACGCAGAAGCAGTTTGTTTATAAAATTTTCGGAAATTTGACAGCGAATAACTTTTTAAAATAAACTTCCATCCAATTGGCATTATCCTTTTTTGAAACAGGTGTATAGTATGAAATAATAAAACATTAATAATCGACAGTAGCGGTGTTCAAATGCAAATGCAGTACAGAAATAAGGTTTTTTTTAATAAACCGACAATTCCAAAACGTTTTTGGGCAAGCATTGTGCAAGCATTGGCATATGTGCTCAAAAATCAAAATAGAATATCTCGGTTTCATTTTCACGTGTGAATATGAATAATATATTGACCTGAATTGGGATCATTTGTCCTTTTGTTTGCTTTTATAATAAAATAAACAAAATTCAGTGGCGGGTCCAGGGAGATTCCATGGGAATATGGAAACGCATCGTACAATAAATTTTTATTCAATACATTCACTACATTTGCTACAGTTCGAGAGGCACAGTAAAAAAGTTCGTTTTAGGAAAATGCGAAAACAAAGTGGAACCTCCCTTTGAAAAATCCTGTATCCTCCACTGAAATTTGTAATTATAGTAAAAACTTATAAAAGGAACCAAAGACGTTATTTACGATGGACTGACAAATTGCCTAGACACAAACTTTTTTTTTACGATTGTAGCCTATGTCCACCCAGTACCACCCTTCGCCGTTTTTTTTTTAGTTTTTTGGGGGGAGGGGGGAGAACATACAGGTTACAAATATACTATGTCAACATGAAAGCTTTTTCTTATAAAGTCAGTTCAGGATACAAATTTCAAGATAGGAATAAATAATTTAGTTACATAATGTTCTCAATCGATTAGGAAAATATAAGTATAGAACTTTCATACACCGAATATTTTAAACGCCTCAGTTCATCATGTACAAATTTCTTTAAATAATTTTGAGGTTTTTCAATTGCCTTGGTTGTATTAGGCTACTGTTTTTATTATACAGGTGAAAAAAGCGTTCTGTTGACATAAGCTCGATATTTTCAGTAGCTTGTTGTCAATTCCACATAGGAAGTACTCTTAAGTTCTCGCATGCAATTCTAAAGAGTAATCAAGGCAGGAAACATATTTAAAACTGACCGAATTTAAAAAAAA